AAAGCCTTTGTAATACGCGTGTTTTTCATGGCAAGATGATTGACAAGAATTGCAGTAAGGTGCTGAAGGGGATATTTCACCTGGCTCATCAAAACTCAGTGTAGAGGATTAGAACTAAGAAGAGCTGACAATATTGACTTTGAGTGTCACAATGGAAACGTAATTAGCTCTTTGACATGTAGTGGACAGAAATACTCCATTTTTAAAAAATCAGTTAGAGTAATTAAACCATGGCTTGTTGCATGCCGCCCTGGAAAAAAAAAACAAACGTCCTGCTCTGCTGTTTCCTCTTTTCCCAGTAAAATTCAAGTTTGGCACTAGAATAAATACATGCAAACCCAGCTTTTCTGCTGGAAGAACATCAGGAAAACTTTGTGCATAAAACTAAAAAAACCTCTCTTAAAAGAGAGCACACAGATTTGAAAGAATGAAAAAGTCAATGAATTTTATACAAGTTTACTTATTGCAAAACAAACTGTCTGCACTATGCTTATTAAAGGCATATTTCATTGCCTAATCATAGATGTCTATTGTACCTTTTATGTTTTGAATCATAATTGCAGTCTGTTCCCCAACTGTAATAACGAAAGACATTTTGGCATATGCTTATATTGATTCCCCTTTAACAAAGCACTTAAGACACATACTTGCATCCCACTGAAATTAATGGCTAACATTGAGTACATTAATTTCACTGGGTTTTAGACAAACATCAGTTTATATGGGCACAAAATTACCTCCTTTGTTGGATAGGCAGAAGTCTCTGAAGAGAACCCTTCAAACTCAAAAGTCTGTACAACGTGCAACTGTTTTGGTTAGAAATACATTGCTCTATGGCATCTACGTTTTTTATCAGAACAACTGTGCTAGCAAAAAAAAGTATGTGCTGTGTTGAAATATCTTCACCAGCTCCTGCTCTAGAATAATCTAAACTGTAGAAACATTTTCCAGTAAGTATAACAATGCACGCATAAATGAGGAAAAGCAAAACTTAATTGTACAATAATACTTCAGCATCGGAACAAGATATCATTAAGTATGGTATAAAGAATGCAGTATATTGAATTTGTAAATTATAAAGATTACTGTCAATATGATTGTCTGTTATTCTTATTTTCTTCAGGATTAAGTGGTATATGAATAAGGAGGAAAAAAAAAAATCAAGAATTACGCTTACCTTGTTCCCTTTTTTAGTCACTGTTCCTAGGTATCCTAATGAGTTTGAACCTGCAATGAAATACTTCAGGAAATTAGATTAAATACAATAAAGCCAATAATCCTTCTCAGCATCAAATCCAGGGCATATACTGAAGTAATATTAAACTAGCCTGCTTCAGCAGCTTGGCATCACCTGACTTAATGGGAACTTCTCATCATAATAAAGTGGATTTAAAGAAAGAAAAGGAAATAGAGATACACTCCAACAACGTAGTCCCTTTATCTTGTGAGAGAGAAGTTTCTAAGTTTAAAAATTTATTTTATTAGCTATTTCCTAATTAATTTTACATTTTTACCTAGCAGTACCCACAACTACTAATTGGCTTTGCTGCAATGCAATTTTTCCACTACATGTTCTAGTTTAAAACACAAAGTGAATAGCTAATGTGGAGTAGTTTAGCCCTGTCTAATACTCTGACTGCAGTGTATTTCAAGGGAGTTTACTCTTGACACTTCTTCAGAAGTATGTCAACACACATGGACTGTGAAAATACCTGTTAGACCTCATGAGCTGCAATAAACAGAGAATTATTTGAAATGATACATACCAAGTCTAGAGGTACACTTAAATTTAAAATAAGAAGGTCTTCCAGCCTGGAATAATCTCCATGGCTATCCAGTTTACACAGTCAGGTATCAACATTTCCTTATTAAAAGACCTGATCTTGTCTACTTCTTCATTTCCTTAACACAGAACTCAACCAAGAAAAACAACATTAAGATCAAAAAAGAAACCTTTTGTAAGCAGAAGTCATATGTGCAAAATTAAACAATCAAACATTTACTAGAAAAAAATCTTTATTAATTCATTCATTCACAATAAATAATAAGATCATACATATGTGGGACCCAGCAATGCTCAGGCTTGTTTGCACCACGGTGTGGTTTGACAAACAAGCCCTCATCAGCTGGCATCCTGAGAAGAAGCCTGACTAAATAGTTTTTGTTTTGTACATTTTCACATATAATGAGTAATTTGCAGTGTAAATCAGTCATTTCAACTGACATTATAGTCAGGCTTTTGAAAACAATTCTTAAGAACCATCCCTGGTGAATACTTCAGGAAAAAAAGCACAATCAGAGTAGTTGTCATTACTCTGTCTTGCTGTTGATTCTGACATTAGGGTTATGTAGGTGTGAGTGTATGTTCAGCTTTACCTCAGGAGGGCAACAATGTTTTCCACTAAATGGGGAACGGAACTAGACTGCTGTCCAGCATACAGGATCAATTTTCACACAGTCCACTCAGCAATTCTAAAACCAAGAGAGTTCTATCACTTCTAAAAATGAAGACATGCCTTAGTTTCACAGCCCACATACACTGAAGATATGTTTCCTTCAGATCTCTTTACTTGTCCCAGATCATTATTTCGAACTTTATGATGAATGAAATTTACTTATCATTCCATTGATTTGTCTGTAGGGGCAGACAACTCAGTCTGCTGGATGCATTGGTAGGACAGAGAAGAGATGCAAATTTCACATGGCTAAGCACCAATGTTTTCATTTATAAGTACAAAAGGAACTGTCACAGATAATTACTATTTAAAAAAAAAGTATAGTTTAAAAATCTGGCCTACATACATATTACAGTTTAATCAGAGAGGATGTTTCTCATAGCAAAATCTCTGTAGACTGAGATGCTTGTTATTTCAATGTTTTGAAATGTTAAGGAAAACATTTAACACTCCCCCCAAATTAATATGAACTCTTTTTTTTTTTTGTAAACAGCTGGGAAAATTGAGTATCATATTCATAAGACCATTTTCCATTAAAGGAAACGTGTACTTCTGAATGTGCAGGTATGTGCGCATTTATCTACAGATATAAACTTTTCATCACTTTTTCTAGCTATAGGCATATTCAGTTTTTCAACTACACTTCACTATACTACACTTCCACTCAAAGTATTTCTTTTCAACTTCAAGCTCATGGATGACATCACAGATGAAAAATGGCATCAGCAAATCTGGTAGTGAATGCACTGCAGTCAAACTGTATAATTCCTCCCTCTTTTACAGACCAGAAATATGGATCAAAAAATCAAGAAACTTTGTGAAGAAAGCACTTAAGATTTCTTTTGTTGGTAAGTCAGAATAAATCTTTGAAAATGGAGTATTCTAGTATCAATGACAGCATGATAAATGCTATTACATTGTATTTTCGAAGGAAGTTCTGATCACTTTTTGTCTAATAATTGCTCTGGCAGGTAAAATTCTCATGGAAAAAAAAGATTTCACCCTTGAAATTAAACCAAGCACGTATGTGTTGCATGCTGCAGCAGTGAAATAACAAATTAAGAATAGCAAAGATCTACATGATCATCAGTCTGTTTTTCCAAACTCTGCAAAAAGGACAGCAATAAAAATATCAAATTCTATACACAAACACTGATAGGAATTAACTGCAAAAAGGACACATTTTGTCCACCTCGAGCTGATCTTTTCTTACGTGCGCTTTTCTTCTGTAAAGGGTACAAGAAACTGTGTGACTATGCATAGCAAAATGTTGGCCACTGCAACTTGGATTGAAATTCAGTGCAGTTTGTTCTGTATTTGCCTTTGTCAGCCTACCTATTTCACAGGGTTCTGCAAAAGGAGTTTCACTATCAGATTTCTGTTTCTTTAATGCCACAAATTAGCCAGCATCTCCCCCTTCTGGAAAGCAGGAAAGCAAGCAGAATCTTGCAGTAGATTAATGCTTTCTTACCATGGCCAACACACATATGCAAAAAAAAGTCTGCAGATAATTATTTTCTGTCTTTGTTCTGAGCAGGACCATTGCTTTTCTAGATCTGTGCTTAATATAGTTCCCTTCAGTAACATGTTTTATTAAAGCCAGACCTAAATCCATTCAGATGTAGCATCCAGCTCGTCAGTGAGAAAATCTTAAAAACAAACCAACAGAATATATCATGTCAGCCAGATTTCTGCATTCTGCAAACCAGAAAATGCTGCATGAGTTGGATTATTAGTGCTTTTGATTCTACTTGTCAGCGTTCATTAACATATGGTGTTCAACCAGTAATTTGTGAGGTATCAATTTAATTTGTACTGAACTGAATTAGACATTTAAAGAGTAGGCAAATAAGTCAACATATAATTCAATTCTTTCTTTAGCATCCCTGAGCTCATTCATTCTCAGCCATCACCAAAATGTTATGAGCAGGCTGCCAGTGACTAATCTATTTGGATTCATGCAGTAGCAGCATAGCTTCAGTGATAAGTGATTTACAATTAAATTCCTCTACATACTACATTTTAAAGAAAAATACGCCAGATGACTGCTTTATTGTCACACACTCTGGGAATTTGTTTCTACGAGTGAGTGCAGAGTCTCAGCATTCAGGATTAGGATTGGCAATGAGCTATCCAAGTACTTAAGAGCAAGTATAATTACCAAAATTCTGTATGAACATTACGTGGACACTGGTAGTCAGTAATGCCAACAGAGAAACTCAAATGACGACTGTTCAATTTGTAGGTGGCCTCAGATGTCACTGGCTTCAGTTACATTTACATACATAAAACTGATTACTTCCTAGCTCCCAGCAAGAGAAGAGTTACAGGCACTTTGAGAGATTTGGTACAGCAGGACTGCATTGGTTTTAGAACTGTGATGCTGTGAGGACAATTTCTTTGTCTGGCTGTGATAAAAAACTGTCTAGAGGGAGAATGAGAAAGATTAATTGAACTTGAACTATTAAAGCTGTTTAAATGTCCCTGTTCTTTACGAATGTATTTAGTGCTTTTTTTCCTTCTTTCCAGGGATGGTATTTAACCTCAGCAGCCTGTGACTGTTGCATCCAAGCCAGAACGCTTTGTAATGTGCAGCTTGGTAATTTCTTCAGCACAGGTAGGGTGAATGCCAATTGTCTTCATCAGTTGAGGATATGTAGCACCACATCTACAGAAAAAAACAGATCAAACCAAACAAAAAAGATCCATCAAGTCAAACGCTTATTCACTTGAAGCAGTTAGAATGTCCTAAAACATCAATGAAATTCTGCTCTTGTTCATTTTATCAGGTAGAGGAGTTGCATTTATTCTTCAAACAATGCTGTCTATTATTTCTCAAGCACTTACACAACAACATTGAAACACCCAGCTTCACAATACTGTTAGGAAGGGAAGAATTGTCATAAGAGTTGAGACAGAGAGAATTAAGCAATTTGCCTGAAGTCACGGCTCAGTCTATGGCAAAAACATATGAGAAAACTGCAGCCTTCAGCTTTTCTTGTACATACATGTGTGTTTCACTAACTCTGACTCCAAATGGAAAAACACACACATACACAGAGAGGAAGAAAATCTTAATTAGGACTGCTGGAAATAATCTGCTGAAGGAAGTAATATCAGAATATTCTTCCATGATCTTAGAGAAAGTCTGGTGCTTACACTGAAATTATCACAGTTATAAACAGGAGAAAACAGTCTCTCAGCTACCAAAAAAATCCTAGAGCTAAAAATCTCACTTGCTTAATTCATTTACTTGTCCAATAACATCCTTAGCCTTTCCTTTGAGCTGCTATTTCTGGCAGGTCATGCTGTAAGTATAGCTGAAATGGCCCTAAATCTAAGAATCGCTTAAAGCTCTCTATGGAAAAACGTTCATAGAATCATAGAATCATAGGGGTTGGAAGGGACCTCGAAAGATCATCTAGTCCACCCCCCCTGCCAGAGCAGGACCACCTAAAGTCCATCACACAGGAAGGCGTCCAGGCAGGTTTTGAATGACTCCAGTGAAGGAGACTCCACAACCTCTCTGGGCAGCCTGTTCCAGTGCTCCGTCACCCTCACAGTAAAAAAATTTTTCCTGATATTCACCTTGAACCTCCTATGCTCCAATTTGTACCCATTACCCCTTGTCCTATCACAAGTCAACACTGAAAAAAGCTTAATTCCATCTTTCTGACACTCACCCTTTACATATTTGTAAACATTGATGAGATCACCCCTCAGTCTCCTTTTCTCCAGGCTAAAGAGACCCAGCTCCCTCAGCCTTTCCTCATAAGGGAGATGCTCCACTCCCCCGTTCATTCCTTCTACAAAATACAGGGAAGAGAGCCACAGATGTCTTCTGGTGTTCCCCCCACCTACATCCAAAAAAGCACCAACAAGAAGAAAAATCCTTGCTGAGCACAGACTGGAGTGCTAATTGGGGAGGGAAGACAGAAAATCATCCTTTTGAGAGGCTGAAGTAAGACCTAATATCTGACAAAGGAGAACAGCAGCTCTTACAGTGAGCGTTCCACACTGAAAGCTCTGAATCTGTGAAAGACAACAGAATACAAGAGCCTGACCTGCTGAAAACCTCTTACTGTGCCTAAAGTTTTAATTTCCCTCAGGCAAGGCAGAAAAGCACTCCAGTTTCATGTGCTTCCTTTTCACTGGTTATTTTGGATAAAACTTCAAAACAATGACATCCTAAAAAAATGTAGTTCTAGAATCTATACCACTGGCAATTAATAGACTACAAACACATGTTGAAAATGTGTATCGAGGGTACACTGCAATCAGTGATTTCCAAGATATTCCTCACATGACACTTGCGGTCCTGCCTTCTAAATCCTTTCTGCTTTTCAGTTATGCTAGTCACTCACAACTGTAAGAATAAGTCTGCAATAAAATGGTGGTGATATTTAAGAAAATGAATTAACACCACAATTGGGGGTGATTTCTTGTGTCTCAGCCTACTTTCTTCAAAGAGAAGTTAAATATTATAATTTAGTAATGTAAATATATGAATCAACATTTCTGAAGATGTAAATCAGTAATAAGAAGGGAAACAAAAAAACAGGTAAGAAATAATAGTGGCACACAAGAGGCATATTAGGCAATCTCCATTTAACCAGGGGGGACCCAGAATCGTTCCTTACTCCTTCAAAAGGAGGACTTCCTTATTAATATTTGAGCAAAATCTTAAACAAGATCAGATCACAAAGGTTCACCTACTTGACTGTTTATTATTGCAATTATCAGATAACTCCAGACAAAAGTAACTCCCCTCTCCCATCATCCCAGAGGTTTCTTTCTTACTATATCATATTATGGCTAGCTTATACCTCAGAAATATAGAAATTAATTTATGGCTCTGTTAACCTTTTGAGGATCCATGCTTGTGCACATTTAAAGATGAAATTAGGACATGAAATACTTGGCACATGTAAAGAAAGGTTTTTATAAAAAGGACAACTATCCTTTTAAAGAAGTGTCTTGCAAAACTATATTGTGATTTCCTAGCCTATACAAAGAATGCAAAAGAAGCTACACTCTTAGAAAACTAGCAAGTTAATGCACAATTTTTTGCTTTAGCTATCTTGAGCTAACAATATATCTTCCTCAGTTGTTCCTTAGCTATATCCAATATTACAGTAACTAAATCCAGTACATCTTAATGGAGAACTATGGTATTTTTAGTGAAAATATGTGCAATACTACATAAAAGTAACAAAAAGCATGGATTCTTTATAGTGCTGCCAAAACTAGGCAGCTATCTTATATAATCTTACAATAACTTAAAAAGCAGGCTTTAGAAGCTAGAGACATTCTTTTGTACTTACTTGATTCCAAGAGCAAATCCTTGAATAACTTCGCCTGCGTTTGGTCCAATGAAATGAAGGCCAAGTATCCGTTGCCCTCTCTCTCGTAAGCACACCATCTGAAAACAATACATTGCATAGAGATCTTTTCTTAGAACATTTAAAGATAAGGCATGAAGTTGAAGCTAATGAAACCGAAGTGCCCCAAGATCATAGTTCTGCTTCCCTAGTTTATTCCCAATGTGCCAAGAACTTAAGCACTCACTTAAGTCTTACTGACTTCAAGAGATCTTGTGCTTGTCCTTAAGCACTTCCTTGAATCAAAGCTTTATTACTGTACTTCTTTCAGACTTCAGGGAGCCACTGACAAAGATAATTTGTGGTAAATTGAATACTTTGTCATTTGTATGAAATTCTCAAAATACCTCTGGTAGTCTAGTAACCTGACTAGTGTTATTTTGACACTGAATGGCCACCTTAGCAATTCTCCAAGGCTGTACAGTTATTCTCCACAGGTCATTGGCTGTATTTCCAAAGATGACCACTACCTATTATAGGATAGTTTGTGCCTCTGTGATTCAGTCAGTGAAAACTTAGAGCTGTATGTTTGGCGAGATACATTTACCATATCAGCCACATAACCTTGGAAGCAGCCAAAGACAAAGGCTAATTAATAAGTAGGTAGGACGGCCCAAGTCACTGCACACTTAACTTTTATTAGAGATCTTAATGAAAACTTTTTAGTTTCTTCAAGGGCACTATCTTTATAATTATATAAAGAAAGTCAGTCTTTCCCTGTATCCTCCCATCAAACACTAAATCATCACTAATCTAATAGATTCTGCTGTTCAGTAAAGGCTTGGGTTCTTTCATTAGGAATCTCAGGAACAGCAGTAATCCTGACATGGCACTTTAAATATTGAGGCATTTTAAAGAAAAAATAATTTTGCAATAGAGATTAAAACTTTCAAGTTAAATGTTTGTTCAGGTGTTGTGGGAGTTTAGTAACGACTATATTCATTATCACCCAACAACTATTATGCTCTTACTACTTCACCCTCAAATATTTACTTTCATCAACATAATCTAAAGGGAACAGCTAAAAAGAAGGAGCACCAGCTTAGCTGCACTATACTTGGGACAGTTAAGGCAAGCTACTACAGCACTTACACAAATCAGATGTGACAAAATATAGTTAGAAAAACTGGTTGCAACTGTCAACAATGGATATTCCTTACATACACAACAATAATATTAGAATAATTTGTGATAGACATATAGAAGATACTAGATTTGTTTAAAAAAAGACTGAGGAGAAAAGAAAAGTATCCCTGATACTGAGGAGAAAAGAAAGAAAAACAAAACTATGACATATTCATCCAACACTAAATCTTATCTAAGGCTCTCTACTACGGACAAGTGCATCAACACCCTTTTCAACACTGAAGCGACTGGATTGCTGTAGGAGACAACACATTTCAAGTCTAACACTGGTCTAAACCAGGACATTTTTGTTTTCAAGAGTAAGACTGAACAGTTACTCTAGTTTGTAAGCGTTATGCTTATTTTTTTTTTGAAAGTAGCATATTTTCTCCAAGAGATAGCAACTCAAATATTAGATATAACTGATTAAGGATTTTGCTAGAGGAAGCAAAGATGAATCTCAATAGAATTTGGAATATTTCTTAGGACCTTAGGAGCAGTTCAAAGATGATATCAATGAGCAGAACGTCAGCTCTTAAAAATGCTAATATCCGTAAAGCAATTTCAAGACACAATGTGATATGTAATGAATATTAAACATTTGAAGTTGCACTAGAGAAACAAGTTATCATCAATAAAATATCTCATAAATCTTAGGAAGCTTTTTTTGCCAAACAGTTGTTAAAGCTGGCTGTACCATATCTCTTCTTTTAAGGTAAAAGCAAGTTAAAAGCTCACAACACTCACTTTTATATAGCACTGAGTTGCATCTCTTTCAGCCACTGTAAACTCTAAAGGTTTATAATAGGCATGGTATACCTGGTAGGGAAAACAATACCATTTTGTGTTAGAGTGTACTGTTATGGCATAAACTGCTATTTAGTACTTAATAACTACTATTAACACTTATTTATAATGTTGTAGAAAAAAAATTTAGAACCTGTTCATTATCATAAAGAAAAATATGGAAAACACAGTAAGTTTAACACAAGCCTTCCTTAGAGAACCTTTAGATTAAAAACAAAACTAAAAAAAAAAAATCACAAATAATCATGTTACTCAAACCAGTGCTCCAAATTAAAAATATTAGTTTTGTTCCTTTATGCTTTTCCCAGAAGTTTAATACCTTGATTACTGAAAATAACGAAATCCAAGAAACTTTCCATATCTGTTATAATGTATATACTGTATCTAATGTATACCACGAGACAACCCAAACCGTCATTTTTGCATTCTGAATAGTAAATGCTTATTTTTTAATTAATGATTTTGCCTAGGACTCTAATTTAAATCCCTCAGCTGAACTTCATCTCCAATACTACTTAGTATCAGCATCTTACACGACACACAAGTGAATTGTCTGCCTTAATCGGAGGAGAACTATTGTTTTAGGGTAATTTATATCATTCTGGGTGGCACTACCACCCAGAAACCTAGATAAGAGTTCTAGGACAGGTATTTGAAGTATAAACTAAATTCCACAGCCCTAAAAGACAAAACAAATAAGTACCTGGACATGAAGTATTGTGTTTGTATTTCCATAATTTACGAAGTCATATGCTGACAGGCTTTTTGAGGAGTGAATAAAGGTAACACATATTTTCAAGGGTGAATTATTTGAATTATTTCTTATTATATAGTGATTGTGAATTTCTTCATCACAAGTACCTTAATCTCCTTCATAATATCAGAGAACTGGTTGTGAATATATACTGTAAGAGATTTCTTCCTCAACATGCAATGTCCAGATATTATATTATATTATATCATATCGTATCAAGGCATTTTAGCCATGCAGACACTTACCAGTTTGTGTGAATATTTCTGGGGACATAACAAATATTTAAGCTAAAGGACCTGACCAGCAATTACGACAATTGAAAGGAATACAATTATTATTTAGTGATGCTGAACAATATAACTTAGGAAAACAACAACAATTTTAAAGCTGTCACACCCTATTAATAATTTTAAGCCCACCAGGTAACAGTTTCCACTGTGACCCACTGCAATACTCTTGAAGTCCTGAGTTCTTCTGAAGACACCAACACTCTAACTGCAAACATAGTATTTTGGGGACCAAAAATTTTGCTGGACAGAACAGTGAAACTTCTGTCTTTTCACAGTGCAACTCTGAAACCACCTGTAAGATTAAAAATGTTTTCATACCTCAATATTATCTGATCCAAAACACTGCACAGCTACTTCTTCTGACAGTCCAACACAACCATATTCCAAGGGAGTGAAAACCGTAGTAGGTACCTGCTTGCAAGGAAACAGGAAGTGTTTATTGTTGAACCATGTGAAGCAGCTGCATGGCAGATTCAGGGGAGACTTTTGCATGACTGGGGAGACTTTTGCATGACTGAAGTGTAGCTCTGTCACACACACCTACTTTGGCCACTGTCAACACTTGATTCCAGATGACAAAATGCAATTCCTTTAAAAATTCTTTAGGGAAAAAAAAAAGCACAAGATGTGGTTTTTATTATTGAAAAAAGAATAAACAACTCACATTGTCATAGTCCATCAGTTCTGAAGACTTGCCAAAAAGACGCTGAGCCAGCAGTTTTCCTGCAGCTATTGCTGTGGGTGTTAATTCAGGACGGCCCTAGGAAGAGAGCACAAAGCTTTATTTTATCTAAGGGAGAAGTAGCATCCAAGGATTTCTCCTGGGACGATGGTCAGAGGAAGGCCAAATCTTTGGAATTCCAGCCCAAACAGGGCTCCAAACAGAGGAGGCAGTAATAATTTCTGTCCAAACATGCTTTTAATCTATGAGTTTAATATCTGTCTTGAGGGGGGAACAAATGCCATGAATGCATCAAAAATCTTATATCTTATCATGTCACCTCTTGAAAAGCAGAGGTTATTCACATGCCAATCCTTCACTTCCCCCTTTCTTTCCATAGCAAGTCACCAAGAAATTTTTTCAGGTGGTCTTTTCAAAGCAGGAAAAGCCAAATATAAAGCAATAGTGTGCCTTTATAACACCAGATTTTTTAAAAAATGTTTTCTGTCCTATTTTTACAGAACATGGGCACAAAACTTAGCTATTTGTAGGTATTATTACTGACTTCCTACATTGGTCCTGGATTGGAGAAGTAGAAGACTATTTTGCTAGCGCTGCTACCTATAGGTTGCCTCAGTCCTAGTCTCAGGCTCTGGTATCAGAGAGGGGCATGAGGAGGATTACTATTGGCAAATGTCAACTTCCTACAAGTGAGAAATGAAATTATAATAGTATATGACCAGGACATGCTCCAGTTCAAGCTATGCGTCCTGGCTGGTTTTTATAACCAAATAGGACTATGCAATGTGGCAAAGCCCTAATTTTGACTGCTGGCACAATACCACTGGAGCATCAGAACTCCAGTGTTAGTTTTAAGGGGGCTGGAAGTTTTTCCAAACTGAAGTAAGGCACTTTCAAAGGAATTTTTTTAAGATTGTGGAATTTAATCTAAGTTAACAATATGTAACAAATATCATAAATCTAGTAAAAAAACATTATTTAAGAGTTCATCCAAGACATAGCATCAAGATACTTGTCTAAGATGAGGAAAGAGGTCACAGATATAGAAGGAACGGTGTGAAAACTTAAAAGTTTTAACTTAAAAACAGCTCTGTGGTACAACATGGAATGCTTTATAAACCCTATGAAGTTTTGATTCACACAGGTCCTATCTAACCACAACATTTGGCATACTCCTGCAAAGCCCAGCTTGGAAGTAGCCATCCAATAAGCCCTCAAAACCAGTCTTCAGCTGAAAATAAAATAAGGATTCCCCACCACACACATTCAACTTCCAAAACTTTTTTTCCCATTATCCTAAAGTTTTTTAGCATTTACTGGAATCCGCTCTTCTTTCCCAGCTTATCTTTTCTCCATGTTGACAGACAGATTCTGTACGTGGCATTATCCCCACAACTCATGACAAATCACAAGACTACAAGTCTACCACTTTTTTCTCCCCTAAGATCCATCAAGTCATGGTTTTTCAAATCCAGCATTTTGACTTTCAAGTCTGTAAATGCCATTTACCAGATGAAATTTGCCATTTGTTTTTTCTTCTGCACATTCGCCTGAAACATGGCTGCCAATCATTTCTGTAGCAGGAAATACAGATGTTGTTTTGGCATTCCAGAAATGAAGAGAAGATTGGAATGAGAGATAAATTGTGAAAGCACTGCCATGCATTCCATAAAACCCAACTAATTACTAAAACATCCATGCAGATAAAGCCCAATTTCTCATAAACAATGACTTAAAGACCTTCCTTGGTAAATATCTGAAACGAACATTCACTTTGCAGTCATGTGTAGAACCACTCTGCTGATTATTATGGGTAAGAACTGTTCATAAGAATCCTCCAATGTATTATACATTTAAATGAGATGGCTCCTAAGAGAGTTTAAAAAGCTTTGAAGTAATGTGTATTTGTTCAAACACAACTCTTTTTGGTCTCATTTCTATTCAAAGCAACATACTGTACATTCCACCTTCTCTACACAACTTTGTTATAACATCCTTTGAAATATGACAGATGTATAGTGGCATGACCATATGACAAACCCCTTTCTGAGAGAACTTCTTTCTAGTGTGTGCCAGGCTTTTCAACAAGAATACTACTGGAGGAAGAATTTTAACACAGAGAGTTTACATCAGCAGTGAAAAAAAATTCAAAGTCAAATTCCAGCTTGCTATTCCTCATTCTGATTACAGAAGATGAAGAAGTCTAAATGCAATTTCACCTGTCTGTTGAAAATAATATTTTGCCAAAACTTGAGAAACTTTTTTCAGGGTAGACAAACTGAGTGATCTCTGGAAGGGTTTTTCCCCTCTTCTCCAAATGAATAGCTTGGATAACATTACAATTCCATGTGACATACAAGGATGCAACAAGAAACCGATGCACACATACTTTCCCATTTGTGCCAGCTGAGTATGACTCCCAAATGAAAACAGTCATTCTAAGCACAGTAGGTAACTCGCCCTTCCCCTCTTTCACTCCCCTTCCAGCCAGGCCCCTGAATTTATTTAAAAATAAAATTAAATAACAATTCGTGGTATTTGGTACCAATTCAGTGTCTATTCAGTGTCATTTGGTAACGGAGAAAGGAGTAAGGCTTGAGAACTATTTGCAAAAGTGTGAGCAATAGCACTTTATGGTAGCAAAGAAACTCTGATAGGGAGAGTAGGGAGAAAAGAAATCCTGAGCTGAAAAAAAAGGAGAAAAAAAAAAAAAATTATTCTTATAAGGAATACCAGGGATCATTGATACTCATTCACAGGGAACAAAATTCCCCTTCCTGTGCTCTTTTGGTAGGTCTCACCTTGAAAGTATCACACACCAAGCTCTACAGCTTTGTGGGTCTTAGCAGGATGCACTCAATTCTGGTGTGTGTATTCTTTGAGATGTGCCCCAACACAGAACTTTCTTTCACTGCTGCTTTCCCTGACAATGAAAGCTATTATCTAAAAGACAAAATTAATTTAATAATCCAAATAAAATAAACTTTATTGCTTAGCAAGTGGAGTTACATGGCTCACATTGTATTTGAGTCAGATAAGCTAATGGAAATAATTCCTTCTATCTTTAATCTATAAATGCATGAGGACTATACTGTTATTTCCTTAATTCCCTATATTGAGCCCATATGCAGATATAAACTTAAGAGAATATTTCTATGGAGCACTGATTTAACTCTTCAGTTTTACCCCAACTGTATGCTGGACACAGTATAGAACTGTGCTGCTGTTTTTTAACACTTACATTTAAAAGTGCCTATTGAACAACTCAAGTTCAAAAACCTGCACTTAAGACAAAAGCAGGAAAAGGAAATCCAAGTTTTAACAACAAAATAAAAATGGCAAATAAATGAAGATTTAATTTTTTAGATCCAGAGTAGGAAAGAGGAGAGCATCCTGCCTCCAACTTTATATTTCTTAACTAAATCCTCAAAGGGCAGAAGACAAAAAGCACCCAAAAGGAAATGACTTGCCCAAAATAACACCGCAGATTGGCAGCAAAATAAGCAACAGAACCTAAGGCCCTGCCAGCATTACCTCTAAATTGCTTCTTGGATGAAATTGAAAAGAAAAGTTTGGAAAGCAGGAGGCCCAACCAAGGCATATATTGGGGACAAGCAGGTGTAGGAGGTCACTGTGGGAAGAAAGAGGACTTAAGGAAATACCTCAGAGAATGAAGTGACAAGTACAGAGGGAATCTGTATGTGAAGTGTGAAGAAAGGAGAGGAACTGCACATAATCCCAAAGTTCTGAGTGACTGCACAGGACAGAGAAGTTGTGGAGAGTAAGGGGGGCGGGGGGGAAAGATAAATAGCCCAGCCCCAAAGAGTGTTAACACAGTTTAAAAGGAAATGGCAAGTCCTTTGCACGAAGATGGAGACAGAAAGGAAGAAACACATGTCTACGTAGAGGGGAAGAAGTCAGGAATGGTCAGCAGATTTATGACATTTAAGAGTCTCTGGGAGTTTTAGAGTCCAGTCAGAATTTTGCAGGACTGTTCCCAAGACTTTATGTAACCTGCTACATCTCTTCAGAAACTCAGAGTGCCTGTAGGGTTTATAAATTTGAGAGACCTTTAAAAGATTTTAAACAGGGCAGAATGAGAAAATTGTTAAAGGTCTCTCAAATTATACTATATGGCATTTGGATATTGCTACAGTATTTAGATTTACCAGACTTTTAAAACAGATGCCTTCATTGTATCAAAAAAAATCTTGATAGGAAGGCATGTGCTCAAGTACAGTAAGTTCAACAATGGGTGAGAGAATTCTGCATCTTGCAATGCCCGGCCTCTACATGCTACATATTACCCAAATTTTGCAGAACAGCAGACAGCTGATAAGACCATCCTCCTGTAACTGTACAGTTCAGAATCCAGACAAACAATTGTTTTTAGGAAGACAACACATTTGAAGATGGCCAACTTGCAGCAGACACTCCAAGTTCTTCTGTAAACTGAAAATTGAGGGTTTGAAAGTATTTGACTGCACTTTAATCAGGAAAAGATGTTCTTGTCATACATAACTGTAGATTATCAACAGGACTAGATAAAGGCCACAGAATTCTGCTACTGCATTGATAATAAGCACATTATTTTGCTTCAGTTATAATGTCCCCTGCTTTAAAAAAAAGCAAGCAAGCAAAAAAAAAAAAAACTCACCTCAGGTCTACTCAGCATAATCATCAACAGAAGTCAAATGCATTTAGTACTTGCAGCAATTACTTTTTCTTATTTTAAAGGAAGATACTTCTGTCAGAAGCATTTTGTGTCAGGGAACAGAACTGCTGTGTTGTGCCTAGTCTCAATTAAACTCCAAAATACTAGAAAAGGAATTACAGAATTTGTCACAGTCATTCACAGTAAATGTATTCAACTCCAGAAGGTAAGAACTGCTTTCACTCAGCATTCACAAGCAGTATGAAGTCATATGTCTGAGGTGATTATTAGAAAGATAATTGAAGAGATAAAGACATTATTATTAGCCTCTGACCAATGATGCATTCCCTGATAAACATCAGTAATAATCTCTAATGCAGAGACACTTCACAAGATCCATGTGAAGGAAATTACTGACCCATGTGGCTGCCATACAAGCTACTGCTTTGCAAAACGAAAAAGAGCAAAACACGAAGAGATACGCTAGAGCATGACGACATCTGGGGACTAGTTATTAGTCAGGAACACAGTTGGCTTCCTGTTATTGTAAAATAGTTTATGTAGACTCAGTACCTCTGTTATGTCTCCAACTGCATAAATGTGAGGAACAGAAGTTGCTTCACTGGCATCAACAATGATCTTCCCAGTTTCAGAATTAGTTTTCACTCCAACTGTCTCCAAATTGAGAGTTTCAGTGTCAGGGGCTCGACCTTAAGGAGAAAAAAAAAAGAAAGTAAAAACTATTGGAAAACTTCAGCAATCTTAATCTAAAAAGCTGGTAACATCCACTGTAGGTTTCCAAGAGCTTTGTGCTATTTGATAGCCCAAGTAGAAATGTGACAAAACTTATACTGCAAATCTGTACAGGTGGAAGGTATGGATATGAATTTCTTTGTGAAAAGAGCTCTATTACTACTGCCTTTGCTCAGACTATTTCAGATAAAGTTATCTTCTAAAAATGTGAAGGACAACATTCACTGCAAAAAAAATGCAAAACCCACATGCTTGAATATTTATGGCACATCCTAAACTGAGTTTCCTAGCTTAGCATGAATAGATGTATAATAACTAAGCAACTACTACACTGAAAAGTTCCCCTAAACATTAACCAATGGCACTCAACACTAACCCACAGTCTGTTGTACACACTCGTGGATGAAAGTTGTTCATAATGCTGTTCAACATTAAACATTCCTGAAGTCCTATTTTTTGTTATCTGATACACTTATCTTCAAGCTTTTTAAGTTCCCTCAGCTTGGATGAAAAAGTTTAACAACTTTCCTCTGAAGTACTTAATGCTGAGTTATTCAGCTCAAACTCTGTATTTGAGCTGTTTCTGTAGAGTTTAGAAATACTATTCTTACAGTTTAGAAACACTATTTTAAATGGATTTAAAAACAAAGTAGGCAAAATCTACCAAGACTGTATTTTGTTACAGCTTCCTCCTCTTCCAACAATTTAAAATTATCTCATCTTTTACAAAATATTTTTTGTAGTGTTTTCTGCATAGAGTTACCACTTAGTCCACCAAAGTCTTGATAATACTACACTGAGCTTTCCACAGAGTATCTAACAAAGCAATTCCTGACACAAAAATTGGAATCTTAAATCTTATTCCATTTTTCAAATTTATTTGAAGGTTAATAAGCATAGTGAAATTATCAGGTACTCCCAAAGATTGTAGGGCCACACAGGATCACAGAGAAAAGAGTACCTGAATATATCAAAATTAAAGAAGTTTTATAACATTGCATCCATTTTTAGAAGCTATAAATGAACATGGATCTATCTACATATACAGGTCTCTGCGTGAGTCATGATTTTGTGTTTAATGTAATACAGAGCTATAGCAAAGCAAAACAAAAAGGGAAATGTGTTTTCATTATAAAAACAAGCTCTTTGATGTTAATGTAGGAAATTATTAAACAAAAGGAAAACCTGGCTTGTCAATACAGACCTAATTATATGTAAACACATGATTCACTGCTTTATACATCTGCCATATAGCCAGGCCCCCCAAACAATGTCACATCTGAATGCCTCTGTAAAGACTTCTGTGTATTAATTTCATCTGGTGAAACCAACACTTCCTCTGGGAGTACTGACTGAAGCTGTCGGCACTTGGCTATCTGTCTGTCTTCCCTTCTGTTGTCCCCATGGGATGTTGATCTGCTGTTCCTTCTCTGCCCCCTGCTCCCCAGCCCTGATGCTATCAGGCAACAAAAATAATAAACCTCCAGGACCTTATCTTGGCTCGGATGTGAAACAACTTCCTACCGTTGTATTTCTTTGTGTATTGAGAGTAAAGCCTGGATATTCTGCAAATGGACAACTAATGGGGTTTTCTAGTTTCCCCTTTTTCCTGCCAGGCAGAGCCAAGAGAAAGCTTAGCACGCAATGGCAGGCACTCAAAGAGGAAAAAAAGAAAAACTGTCAATAGAGTAATTTAAAGACCTGTGACAACAACAGCTGAGTTTATCAAATCTGCAGGATAACACTTAACCTTTCGATTCCAGGCTATTTTAACGTGTACAGCTTGATATTAATAGCTGAAAGCTGCAAAAAACATGTTGCTACTCATAGTGAAATTTCTCTCTCAACTTCATTTGCCTAAATATTATTACTAAAAGCAAACTCAAAAGTTCAAAAAACTGAACTGAAGCTTTATTGGCCTTTAGCCCTATGCTGGATCACCTCCATAAGCCAGAATTACACTTAGTGATCTTGCTTCACCTCAGATTCCGTAGCTTAGGTTCATGATTATCCGATGTGTCTTGGTAAGTTTTAATGTCAAATTCAGGAAATTCTGATTATTTACCAACATTCACTTCCTCGTATCATAGAATCAACTCTCACCATTTCTCAGCAGTGTTGGATCAGCAGGGCATAGCTCCTAAGTTTACAGTTGCTGCTTCAAGAAAGCCTGAGTTTACACCTTATTTCTAAGATCCAGAGGGCAATATCAAACACCAAATCCTACCAGGCATACAAAGCAGAGGAGCTCCCCCTCCCCGCCCCAAGCCAGCACATGTGCTTTTAGTTTGAAATGTCCACTGCCCTGAAATTCCCACAGAGCAAGGAGTGTATGATCGTGTACGACAAAAGACTAGACTGAGCTTTTATTCAAAACAGCAAGACACTACACCAGACATCCAGAAGAAAGGTGACAATTCAAATCTGACTCTTGAAAAGGTTACCTGCCTCCTGCACGTTTAACACCACATCACAATATCATCTTTAATAGATCCATACTATAACCACATAGCTGGGAAAACCACACAGATCCAGGCTTTCAGGGCCTGCCCTCATTCTCTTTTAACTTTAAAAAAAAAAAAAAAAAAACAAACCTTTTGCCTTTTTTTTGTAAAATCTAGCAACCTGGGGCCCCCTTCCTAAGGTGACTACCAGCCAGCTTAGCCACAGAGAGCGACAAGAGACTGGTAAAAGCACCCATCTTGGATCCGTCCTAGGCTGGTTATACTATGATGTGGCATTTCTGTCCCACCATCTGCTGAGGGGCTCTGGTAATCACACCTGCACACAGAATAAGGCAGAGGCAATATCAGGCTGCTGGACCTTCAACACTCAAGACTGAAGCAGCTAAACTGTGCTTCAGGAAACCACAGGAACAGGTATACTGAAGTGCAGCAGCAATAAATGAGTGACAGCATGCTCTTGCATACAGTATGATTTCCCAGGGTGATAAAGGTGCTGCTGACAGCAGAATTTTATAATGGGTCTTCTGCAGTTTCTTAATCACAGAAGGTGGAATATCTGTTTGCTCCCCAGCATTTGAAAAATCCATACCAGAGCCAACCAAGCATTTTCTTATCAGGCATGATAATACAGATGGTGACTGTGAGGATACTGCAGGGTGACAGCATGGTTCTTCTCATATAAAACTTAAGCCTGAGTTTTCTACACTTCTTCTCTTTGACCTTAATAAAAATTCCATCTGTTTTCCCAGTCTTGGTACTCTCTCTCACCTTGATCTGTGTGCCTGACACTTCCTAAACAAGTTTCAAGACTACTACCCTTTCCTCCTTCAAAGCCCTCCTCAAAACCCACAAGGTGTTCACTAAAACATAGCCAGCTGATAATGACTACTAAAGATCAACTCAGTGTAACCAATGTTCAGATGACATGAAAATACTGACTACAGTAAGATTAACTAAGGTCAAAAAAAAAAACTTCAGACCCCTTATCCCATTGACAGTAGCATGTGCCAGTTTTACTAGGAAGTTTTTGAACATTTCATTCATTACTGACAAACATTCAGCACCCATGCCCTAATTTGAAAACAATCTGATACTTAGTCAGTGCTAGGGCAGTAACTGGTTCTCTGCCTAGTCTGCTAAGCTGTGCTATCTCTTGTAGCATTGACTAGTGATACTTGTTACCCAGAGGAGTCATCTCAGCAGAAAGCTTGTGGCAGCCATGGTGCAGTCAGTAAACACCTCACCATCACCATCCACTGTACACTCAAAGTTACTTGCCTCTAGTGAAAGGTTGCTTTGGTTCTTTCCAAACAACAACAACAAAAAAAGCAACTCCAAGTAACACACAACCAAATGAATACAGCATGAGACAGACTTAAATTCTATCTGTTTCGTTCTTAAGGTACAAGGTGAAGTGGGCTGGAAGCATTTTCTGAGAAGAAAGCTACAGTTCACCTTTATATCAGTTCTCCCACACCACTTCTTGCTTTACCCAAAGGTTTTGTACACCCTTAAAGGATGGTTCTGCAGTCTCAAAAAACAGTACCAAACCACCATTCCTGAGTGAGGCCATTGGCTTCAATCTCCTGGACAATTATGGGTGAACAGAACCTGAATTCTGTAAAAATGTCATGGTAATTAGACTGGCTTCATTAAATTACTTTGGATCATTTTCCACCATTTTAAAATTTATTTATACCACCATTTTGGTAATGCAGGCTAGCCACCAATCAGCTCAAATAGCACCTTAGTGTTAAAAGAGTTCCAAATTCAAAGTGTTCTCTCACACACTGGTTAGAGGCATAGACTAGCATCTAACTTCTCAACATGGGCAAGTGACTTTTGTAGTTACAAGCTGGTAAAATGACTAGCATAAAATAAAAGTTACACTCAAAGTTTATGGGTGGGTTAAACAAGAGAAGGCAAAGGTACCATCCAGGCCTCTTTCAGTGCAAATTACTAGCACACTAAAAATAGCCCTGTTGCATAAAGTCTGACCGAATGTCATTAAAACTAGATATTAGGAAAAAAACTAAAAGCACTGGCTGATGCAATGGGAGTGACAATTGTCATTAGGACTAGAGAAACCACATCTTAACACTACAGTAATGAATGAGAAAGAGACGTAGGAAATTCAGAACAAAGGCCCAGAGTCTCAGCAAACCACACTTCGTTAGCCCTAACTGTTGTCTGAGATAACTAAGGTGCACTATTTTTCACTGAGTAGTTCAAAAGTTAAAAACTGGACGGCAAGATTTTGTTTGCAAAGACAAACCCAAAGCCCATCCCCTTTTCTATAGGGGCTGGCAGAGATATGCTCACAGGAGATCACAGCAATATTTTGCCACATGGAACTTCTCAAAGAAAATCTCCCAATAAAATTTCTGTTAATCCAAACAGACTGGGTTGTAACACTTGAAGAAAACTACTACTGTATTAAAAAAAAAAATTATGTACATAACCCTTTCATGATACTGAACAACCAGAATCTTATTTCATGGTGCTACAAAATAAATCTGCCAAGCATCCAGTCTGACACAAAGGACAATTTGCTTGAAAGCACATTATGTGCAACACCCAATACCTGTTCAGCTTTACACTAAGCTGAAATTATAATTACTTTTTATAGCAAAGTTGTTATTATCTCAAAGGCATGGTGCCTCTCCTCTAAGATTATAAATGCAGAGAAACTTGAGAATGGTTGTTTCATTGCTCTCTTCAGGGAGAACTCTTTTTGTAAAGAGTCTTCCTAAAAACTGGAGTTTTTCTTAAAATCTACTGCTGGTCATCGCTCTTTTTAACAACTTACTAGCACACTACCTCACTTTCTCTGTCAAACTACTTCTAGGATATTTTGTAAACACCTGCTTAGTTTAAACATCACTTCAGTATTGCTCCTCTATGTAGTAAGACGCTGTTAGACACATAGTAACTGTGTTTTCTAAGGACTTTGTCAATAACCAAATTCCACTCACAGCAGTGACCTTTTGCCATCTATTGCCAATTCAAATGGAAATACTAGTTTTATATATTAACTTTGTTGCCACTGCAGCATTCAATCTACAGGTTTCAAGCTGAAATAAACACACCCTACAAAGCCTGAACTTTGCCCTGTAGCTCACCTGCAGCTTTAGTGTCAGTCTCTACCCTTTTTGTTGGATGAAGACCCTATGTTCAATCTGTACATGTACACACCACTGCTTTATAGCTCAGGTACATTGGGTACCTAACATCTAAACTTCTGTGTGTCCTTAAGGGCAGGAAGAATACTATATAATATTGAAAGCTTATTGGTTCCATATTAAAAAAAAAAAAAAATTGGAAATGTAAAATCTCAAAAGCTTATCACTTCAGGAGAATTCCCATAAAAGCAGAAGTGTGAGCACCAGTACAAGACAGAAGGGCATTATAGGACTAAGCAGGCAGAATCAAATAAAGGTCAAGAAAGAGCTGTTTCACTGATCTGGAATGTAACTGTACAGTTGCTCAGCAAGGCAACACAGGCCCAGAACAGTTACCCAAAAAAGCCTTCCACTGAAACCTTTGAATTACCTTAAAAGCTATCAAAATGAGAATTTTTTTTCCTCAAATATTTTGACTGGTTCAAAAAAGCTGCTAGAAAAGCAAAGAGCATTGTATCTGCTTTTACAGGCTCATCCACACAAAGTAGAAAATGACACATTCCAAAACTCTTAACAGAAACACAATGTATTTTTTTTTTTCAAAGGGCCTGCACTAAGAGATAATACTTTTGCTTACCAAACTCAAACTATGCCCCATTTTCTGTAAGTATTTTTAACATTATTCATGAAATCCTACTAAAATTCCATGATGGACTTACAGAAATGAAGGAAATATCTACTAGAATTCAGGCTACAATTAGTTAACAACAGTGGCTGCTTTTTAACTAATTCTCCAAGCTGACTCTCTTCAATCAGCATTGTAACTGGCACATCTGCAGACAGGAAATCCTCAACACTACCAAGTTTCCCAGCCTATTATCTGAGACACCTGGTGTGGGTGTGTTGATACAGAGCAAAACAATGAATCATATGGACTGCACATCAATTAACCAGCTTTAACTGTTAATGTGTTTAATCCTTCAGGGTGGAGTGCCAATCTGAACACTAAAACAGTCAATGCAAACAACCCAGACCCGCAAACTATTCATTTTACAGCTTCTAAACGTGGATTGCAACTCAAATCTATGGCAAAAATTATAATACACGTAGTTCCTCTGTGTCAAAATAGTGAGTGGAGTCACATTACAACTGAGATGCAATAGTATATCATGCAACCTTATTCCATTATAACTAACATTAACCCAAGGGTTTTTTCATATTATTTCAATTTAATAGCTCTTTTTTCCATGTCTTTGACAAAAGTAAGCAAATTGACTTGACATTTCCCAAGTGTGACTCTGCGTCAATGTTCTTTTAACAGAAAGCTTGAGAAAAATAAAACATGGCTTTTAGAAATCCACTTTTTGGAAACATTTTCATGTCAGGTCATGAATATTATTTTACAGTTTTCAGGATTGTTGTATCTCCAGATAGCATGACCTTTTTTTCCTATTGGCAAGCACTAGTGTCTTTGACTGGTTCTGGTGAACATAATCCATTATTAGAGATTGTTTCCACAATTTATAGAAGCCCACTGCATTTCTAAGAGAACAGTAATCAGAATAAAATGTTTGCCACAAAACACAACCTGCTCTCTGTTTGGGGCATTAGGAAGATAAAAAGGTGATATAACCAGGGGAAAGGAACAACAGACTTAGTGCACTGGGCAAATACAAAATGCTCTAAATGATGTGTTCCTGTCTCCAGTAATGGACCTATGCTACGACCACAAGAATTTATCTGTTTATCTTTATCAATAAATGAAAGTGTAAATCTTCCTCACTACTCTAAAACAGTATTGTCAGACAAAAAGAATAGTAAAATTAAGTAGCTAAAGGAACTGCTAAAGCTTATGGTAAAGCTGATTGTTCTGCATCAAAACAGATTTCTTGGGCAGTAAGTTTAAACCTATTTACTTTGTTCACAAGATCATTCACTTGCCAAATATCAATACTAGTTTTATTCATCCATGATTTATCTAGAATTCCAGATATTCACTAAGCTTTAAAAGCACAGAAGACATGAGATCTCCTATCCTGATGGGCTTGCAGTCCACCTGAACCAATGCAGGAACTGAGGGCCAACTCAACAGCAATAAACGGGCAGCGTAGGGAGGTGACACAGAAAGAGCATTTTCGTTCCTGTGGGCTGGGGTCTTGTACCACACATCATCTAGTGTGTTAATCCCTACCAGAAGTAGCATTTGGAGGCAAACCCCAGATTTAATTCCTGTTTCTGGTGATTATGCTTGTAGCCATTTGTCACAAAATTCTTTTAAACTGATTTACTCTGACTTTGGCATTATATACCAGTTCCGAGGGGTCTGCGAGACATGGAAGTTCCTAACCAGATTTCAAAAAGCTTTAAAGTCCCAAGATCCCCTGCAATGAGCTCGGATTTTTAGGTACAATTACTTCTCTTTCTCTGAACCGGATGATGGCTGCAGTAACAAACTTCAGCAGTACAGTTTAGAAAAATTCCTAGAAGAAATGGTAGCCTCTCGAACCAGTTGAATAGGAACTTGTAGTGAATAGCTTCATGAGTAAATCAAGAGTATGGACTTAGAAAACACAACCTCTACGACAGAGGTTGCTGGAATTCAAGCTCTCGCCCTCTAGTAAATACAAGGAAGACTAAATGGTCTCCCACTTGTTGTAGCTCATGCAAAAGTAGTTACCCTGGATTTCTTTGATTCACGGTAACTTTCACATTCACTTATGGTGTAAAAACACAAGTCAGGCATGCAGAAAAAGTTTTCAAACCACTGATGTTTAGGTCTCTAAATATTTAATATTAAAAAAAAGGAGGTTTGGCCCCATACAATACAATGAGGAGACAATTTCCCGAATGGAAAGCATTGCAAACAAATGTTAAGATAATCAAGTTTACCTACTGCCCACATCACTGTGTCAAAGGAATCAGTTTCTTCTGTGCCCAGGTCAGTATTTTTCCAAGTGACTTGCAATCTGTTGCTCTCCAATTTTTCAACTTTGATTGGGAAACATCTCTTTAAAAATTTTGTGCCATAAGATTCCATGTGCTCAGTTACTAAAGATGCCATTTGCTGTTGAGTAGAGGAAAGAGATGATGTTTGTTCTTAGATATATGACCTTTTTAATGTCAAACCTTCAGCTGCCCATGAAAATCCAGTAAATAAAAACTGTGCATTTCAAACATTCTTTGTCACTTAGTTACTATGCAGTGTCAACACATGATAACTTATTGAGCTACTATGACCTACAGTTCCATTCCAAGAGGCATCTACATCTGAATATACAAATAATTTTCAAAAAAGTAAATAGTCTACAAATAAAATGGTTGCTTTTAAATAATTTGTTGCTTATACAAAAACAGGATCTACAGCAGATTCAGTTTAACATTACCACAATTATCATTTTCTGGCAGCTTGATGAGAATTAAATATCTTCCTAAAGCTAAGGAAGAACAATATATCCCTTTACCATGACACCTGTCTCTTCTTTGCAATGACTACGAATCACTGAGGTTTCCTGGAAAGTTCTACTACAAAACGGAAATGACGCTTTTTTCCCCAAGAGCCTTTCTGAAATAACGCCACACCACAGTCAAACAGTAAAGTGTCACCTTGACAAGTTTATCCAAAGATGTCATTGCTCTTGACTGCAAGAACTCAGGCTGCACTTTGACAAACAAGATGTATATTACTTAAAGGACATTATCACAAAACCACTCACACAGAACAACTGCATGCAAGCTCTCAGCTTACAAAACGTTATTTTGAAGTCAATATTAACCAATGTGAAGGCAACAGCACAGTTCTATCTCTTCAGAAACATTATAGCTCACTAACCACTTCCCAGCAGACTCAGTGGGACTACGGATTGAACGTGATTATTTTATCCCTATTAATACTTTCTTAGCTTTGAAATGTCTGTTGTGCTCTTCCTGCCTATAAAGGACTTGATTCTCAGGGAAAGCCCTACTGTGTTTTATGAAGGGACATACACATTGGTACATATACCACTACTTTTAAGGAAGCCACTTCAAAGTGGGAATGGCTGGCATGCAAGCAGGAGCTGTCACTACCTGCAGTGGTACTTGTCACTACTGCTCCAATCAGCAATACTCCCTCCTCAAAAACTGTTCTTACACTTTAAAATAATTTTCCCATGCACTGCGTGTACAAAGAACTTCTTAATCACAAGCCCATAGTTCTATCACTCCTCCATCAACTTTGGCCTGTAAATGTTTTGCACTACTGCAGTTAAGTGGTTTTTAAAGTCTTATTTCATAATTTCATAATACCAGGAATAATTAAGTTGAAGTATATTCATTCACATTCTGAAAACACCATGTTCAAGTCATTAACACAGCATAGTCTCCATTCCTGAGCCTGACACTTTCCAAATTTTTTTGCCTAAGAAAAAAATTGTTGGAAACTTCAAAGAAAAAGTTCACTGCACAATGTAAGTGAGAACCCAGAACTCTCTCACTGTTTCAAGACCATTACAGAAACTTTTCCTTCAAAGTAGCATCAGCATCAAATCTTGCAGGGACAGAAGATTCACAATCACCTTTAACATACTACTTTTGGTCCCTATAGATCTAGGGACCAAAAAGACTATCAGGCCATCAAAGAGATTATCTAACCTGTAGAACAGAGGTTACAAACTTGCATCCAAGTAATGCCTTTACTGGATCCAGTAACTTGCCTTTTAACCTACTATTCTACCTTCTGCTTTTTCTTCAAGCAGTTATATAGAATTTCTGTAAAAAGTATAAAACCTTTTTTTGTTGTTCTTGCCTTTTGTCACTGTTACTTCTAACTGCTTTTATTCTCTTTATACAGGAATGGCTTTCTGGCCAAAATTTTTTTCTGTTTTTTTTTTTTTTTCTTTTCAGCACAATCATGACCCCTTATACTTTTAAATAAAACTTGTTTTTTTGTGTTTAAATTTCACTGCCTGAAAGTTTTTGCTTTTAATTTTCTCCAGCTTAGGGTGTATAATCAATATTTTTTTTTACCTAATTATAACTGCCACTGTTTTGAAAGTGATAAGGTCAAGATTTCCAATCCCTATGTCATTACAAACTTTCAGCTTAGTGATTTATTTATGTTCACCATAATGAGCTCCACATTGAACTACTTCATGGTAAGTCCAGTAATTTATTTTAAAAATCATTATCTGTAACTCCTAGAAATTCAGGATTATTTTAAAGAGATTGTCTAATGTTTTGAGCAGTGGCATAAACCCCTTCCCTGCTTCCAATCTTTTCAATCTTGTTTTCAATTAAGCAAAAAAAAATTAGTTTTCCAAGTACATTATCAAGAGATATGATAGGAAAGAATGGCTAATACTTCTTTAGTTTCTCTTCAGAAAGGACATACTAGGAAATGCTGAGAGAAGCAAACGACACATTTTCTTTAGGAGACAAAAATAATCAAATACATATATATTTTTTAATATATCTGATACATAAGAAGAAATGAGATATTCCATACTCACCTGATCAAACCCACGAAGTGGGATACTTCTCATCATGACTGTAGTGTCCAACCCAATGCCTGTTAGAAAACCAGCAGACTCAAGTGAAACATCTGGTGAGGCACCAGTTAAGGAAATAAAAACAATGATATCATGTAAATGCAATATGAAAAGGTAAAATACAAGAGAGTTTTTCCCTAGAGACATCAGGTTCTCACACAGGGAACATCTTTCATTTGCTTTTATTGCACTGAATAAAACTCCAAACCCGTAGATAACGCTGTTTTTAGGATCCTGGGAATGTATCCTCAGCTGACCTTAATTCCCATAAAGCTACTGCATAGAAAACTACTATTATTCTATTACCAGCTCAGCTACAGGGCATGAACAAAGGAATACCCAAAATTGAGGTTTCACAAAACAGAAAGCTATGCTGCTTATAATCACAAGTCATCACAGCTTTTTCAAAGGATACAGCTGGCTCCAACAACCAACCTATTACACAGAAAGAAAAAAAGAATAAAGCAGTGGAATGAGCTTGTACATATTTCTGCACAAAGAAAAAGTTATTTTCTGAAGTATGTAAAGTTACAGAATTACAGGTTTGAGGAATGGATCTGATGTTTTTAGATGGGAAGAAAGAGTGTGGCTTTTCAATTCCAAAGACAACACTGTAACCTGTAGGCTTATTTTATTAACAGAATAAAAAAAGAACAGGCTTGTAAGACATACGGAATTGAGTTCATATTGTAAAGAGACAGTTAAACATGTACTCTGAAAGACCAAATGAAGAAGGCCATTAAAAACTCAGAGAAACTAGCACGGTTAAGAGGCATAACAAATATTTCAATTGTGGTTTATAATATACCTCAGTTGGAAATATCTGGAATGGACACTGACAGGTTTTTCTCCCAGTGCCTATTGCTGTTGCTGTCCCATCTTTACAGGAATCTTGGCACCATTGCCTCTGAGACAGCAGGCAACACAAAAACATACACACGCAGCAGTCTTGTCAGAACCCAACTGTATCTCAAAATTTCTACAGGTATCTTGATAACTAAATATATACATATTTTAGAAATTATTTTTAAGAAAACACAATCAGAAGTTAAGCACATTTGAAAGGCATCATCTTCCTACCAGTTAGATTACAGTTCCCAACATAAGACTTTAAATGCTACATTTAATTTTGATTTATAATGATCTGCTTTTTAATTATTTTATTTTTCCAAATGCCAAATATTTGCCCTTCCTGTCTTCAAAAGTTCTGTATGCAGCTGTAGAAAAATCCATTTAATAGACTTATCTAGAGTATTACTTACTAAATACAGCCATTTTAGATCCTAAATGAAACTTCAGCTCCCATCTCTCCCCATATTTCACACCTTTTCAACCAAGGACATCACTACAATCATCCATCAACACTTTTAATTTAGGTGTATGAGCTCTCCATGCCTGTCCCCAGATGCCCTATGCCTGCAGCAGCCCTCTCTCCTCTGAGCATCCCCCAGGTCCCTCTGTCTGCAGGGCACACTCAGGCTCGGTGGCTGTCGCGGAGGTCAGACTGGGTCTGGCCAGCCCGTCCCTGCCGCTCAGCTCCTGCCAGGCTGCACGAGCATTCCCTGCCTGTTCAGGTGGCACCCAGACTTGGTAAAACTTTCCTGTTCTACAAGGAATCCCACATAACATTTCCACTTACAACAAAGTCTTAAGTTTTTGAATTAGGAAAAAAAGCATCATTAGGCATCAAAATTTCTAGTTACTATGAGTACAGTGTAGAATGTCAGGCTCTTTCTGACTGTGATGTTCATCTATGGAAACACATAAACACATGCTTTAACTTCATCCCCATGCTTTATTAAGAACTTTTCGCCAAAAAACAGCAACACAAAATCAAAACACTGGGAACCCACCTGAATATTTGGCACATTATTTCTGTTTATTTGGGGTAACTTTTTTTTTTTTTAAAGGAGATCTCTCTTGTATTGCCATATGCAAAAGTTAAAAACCAACTTTTGATTTTTGGGTATGGAAGTAGTTTTCTAATTGAGGTTTGGAAAGCTAGAAATTTTAGAAATTTACTTGAGTTTAGAAATCTACTTTAAAACTTCAAAATGCAAACTCACACAATCAAAGAGTTTAAACAGGTTATTTAAAGCACAGAAGTGTAAGCGTGAGCCACAGAACTGTATCATATCCTTTTCCCCACATCCAATCTTGTTTGACTGTTTTGGGGAAGGTAAGTTTTAGCAACACAAATGACAATGCCAGCAAAGCAAACACTTACATAGAAATAATCCATTAAGTAAAGACCTTTTCCCTTAGCAGTTGTGCCTCCATTAATTCAAAAACTCTAAGAAACAAACCCCTCATATTTTGACAAAACGTGCTCTGCAAAGGTGAAAATTCAACGTAGTCAGATCACAGGAAAGAACACATTTGAAATATCAACCTGTAGCCTACACAACCCACAATTTTATATTCTACATTTTTCTTGATTCCTGGTCAAAGGAGCATATGCTAGTATGGTGCTTCACAAATTAAATATAATGCCTTAAATCCACCAAATCCACACACAAAAGGAAGGCTAACACAAAGTAGTGTGTGCACTGCAGCCTCTTAACAAGGACATATAATTTGTCAATTTCAACTCAAATTTAGGAAGCAAGGATCCTCTCTCTACCCTGTTACCAGGAAAACTACTGGTATATACACTTGAAAAGATAGGAATGTATTTCATAGGAGGACGTCAAAAACCTTAGAAAATTAAAATATTTTATGTGTGAATGTGTACTGGCAACTAAAACCAAATGTTAGAGGCATGATGGAGCTCTGCAGATGGCAAATTTGGCTTCTCCTCTCGGCCCTGCCACTGACGAGCCACAGATCATTAGGAAAGCTATTCTTCCTCAACACTGCAAGAGAAACAAGTCCAGCACTTGAGGAGCTCTTCATACACAGTCTAGCCTACGCTAAGAGAGAAAAAAATAGTAGGTTAAACACTGGCTTGTGTCCTGTACCTTACCCTAAACCAATGCACACCATCTCCAAGTCCTAACAGAGATGCTTTCAAGCTTCTGAAAAGTGCAGATATGGGGGCTGCTGTTCCGTAAGCCCCAAAGATTGCAGAGTCAGTACAACAATGTTTTTCTCACAAAAGACCCTAGATAACATCTATCTACCTTATAATAAAAACATACAGCTTCTGAAGGCGTAGAGAGAACAGGTTGAGCTAAAGAGATTAAAATCTGCTAATCTGGGTTTTATGTTTGGCAAACAATTTAACATAATGGAAAATAAATTTTTCCAGCATTAAGGCATCTGATTCACCTGTGAATGGATGGTCACGTCCTCTTTCAGCATATTGTTCTTGCAAAGTGCTGCAAAGAGCCACATGCTACCCATACAGAAATATCTACTGGAGATTCACAGGATCTAGAATGAGAATATCTGCAATTTGGGCATATGTTTGCTCTTCTTTTTCATGAGATGAAAAATAGATGCCAGCTGGCACTCATTCATAGTATCAGCACCACATTATTCACAGTTTCTGCTACAAAGCAGAGGATGCCTGGGCACTGTCAGTGTCTAATACAAAAGTTAAGAAAGTAGAACGTGACCTCATTCACACCTGCTCAATCTCTCACTCTTTCTGAACATATTTAAAGACATCTCTAACTCACTCTGCCAAACCCTTTCATCTCAGTAGCGAGAATTTCTTCAAGTTTGTATATCCAAGGGACTTTTAAGTTGGTTAATGGTTTGCTGTTTTTTGTTTTTTTTTTTTTAATAGGAATAACTGCAGAAGTGACAGTTCTACAATCCCCAGGCATGTAATTTGTAGCTGAGATATGTACATTTGGAGAGAAAGAAAAGAAAGAATAAGTAGAACACAGCTTAGACTAAAACCAAAAGGTGTTAAACTGAACCTTGGGAATATTTATAATAGAAACAAATCTGACAGAAAGAAACCTTTAACAGCTCCGTCCTCCTCTGCTAGGACACAGCCTGATAAAGCACAGAAATGCTACTGTAGCCCCTGCGGGCTTATTTTGACTAAATCTCAGGAATGTAAGGTATAAACACCAGGCTCCCACATTACACTGTTACAACTTGCATTAGCGGCAACTGGACAAAAGCCACATTTTCACAGGAACATCTTACAGGGATAAATCTTATGTTTACCTTATGGGGGTGGGGGGATTGGTGGTGGTGTTTTTTTTTTTAAAAAAAAAAAAACACAATTTCCTCGCATAAATCATGCTCTCAAAATTCAAGAGGTGACTGATATACTACAAAGAACAGCAAATTTATTTTTCTTAAACTGCACGAAGAAGCCTTGTTTATCTATTTGATGTTTAGCTTCACACAATACATTTTCCATATTAGAAAGTCACAGCCATGAATGGCAGCTCTGTTTTCTTTCCAAACACCACTCTTATAGTTTCAAGTCTTTTTTTCTTCTATATACTTTGCTTTTTCTCTGCTCAGGAAAAAAAAAAAAACAAAATCATACTAGTAAATATGTGTTTCCTATTATAATTATTTGCATCAGGAAATTACTCTGTAGTGCAGTGTTGACACAGAATCTTACTGTGCTATGTGCTTTAAAAAGCTATGACAAAAAAATAAGATTATGGCATTTTAATATTTCCATTATAAACGATTTTTTATTATTTCATTTAAAAAATAGCTTCCAAATCATAACAAAAGGCAAAAGTAACCCAACTATATTATCATATTTTCTTTTATCAACACAGCCACCACTTAAGAGAACATAAAATTATGTTGGAGTTTCTTTCCTAATTGAAGAGCAATTTCACATACATCTGTAGCAATGAATAGGAACAGTAAAGCCTTTGTTAAGTTTATGGTGCCCTCTTGTGACTTCCATGTATAATTGCTACAGGAAACAAGTCACCTTAACCTAACATTTGTATTTAATTTGATTTTAGAACAGAATTTCATAAAAGGAGGAGGGGTAAAATCTATTGTTTGTTAAGGAGGTTGGTAGTGTGATGTTGACGCGTAGCAAAACAAATTCTCAGAAAGAAGACAGAAAGACAGAAAAACTGGTGTATAAAAGGCAATTTTAAATGTGTTTCACCTTGCCATGCAGAATAAGTATGAATGCCAGCATCTATTAAAGCCATGGTGACATAACTTACGTTTTTCCAGGTGATTCTTTTAACCAGAACAGATCATCACTTGTAATCCCATACTCCAGTGCACCTGCAATCTGTAATCACACAGGTTAGGTCTCAAATCTACAATGCACGTCCTGGCAGCAAAAAAGCTAACAGCCACTTGGGCTCTATTAGCTGAAGTATAGCCAGCAGACCAAGGTGAACACATCTGGGGCTGCCCAGATGTGCTACCCAGCCTTTGCCTTTGGAGAGTCTCAACACCTGACTGCAGAAAGCCCCGAGCAACGAGATCTCTCACAGCTGACCCCAGCCTTCCTGAGCAGGAGGTAGAACTAGATGACCTCTAGAGATCCCTTCCAACCTGAATTATCCTACAGCTTTAAGCAACAGTAATACACTAAGTTGATGCAAATTGTTTTCTATGGAGTAGTTTTTTTTCTGAAAAGCCTGCACTTTACATAGGAGATAATTTTTCATATAACGCAAGGACAAAAGTTTCTCATGTGTTACTTTGCATTTATACTATTTATTCTCCAAACACTCATTATCATCTGCAACAAAATCAGTAAAGCCATTGAAGATGTTAGACAGTGAGTGTAACTTACGTGTGTAGGATATTTTGGTCTTCCTCCAGTAGCAATGACAATGTTTTCTGCAGTAACAATAGTCTACAAACAAAAATACAAAATCAAAATCAAGCACTTGAAATTCTTTTATCTGTCTTTGGATTTTAGCCATTTCCAAATGAGTGATAAATGATAATACTGGCACTATCATCTGCTATTTACATGACACAATAATCAGCAGTGTAATAAAAAAAAAAGTTGGAGAAAAAAGAAACTAATACATACAAGAATTTCTCCTGTACATTCTCTATCCATTTTTGTTTTAAAATTAAGCTTTTTTGCTTTCCAATTGCTCATAATCTGGACAAGATTCTGAAGACTACTTGGAAGTAAAAGGTGCACACAAACAACAGCTTTTTAAAATAAATTGTTCCTTAGGACCAAACATGCAGAGATCACAGCAAGTGAATGCTGTGTCTAAGGCCTGCATTAAGCTACCTCAAAAATGGCAGGCTTTTAGAAAATGCTAGGCAAAACATATACCCCAAAAAACTTTTGCTCTCTCAAGCAGATATTAACTAGTAACATTATGTAAGTACCACCCCAAAAGGTTAAAAATGCATCTTTAGTCTCTTGTTAAGTATGCAGAGATGGCCACCATTCTGTTACATGACCCAGCTGCCTGAAGCTGTGCATTCAACATAACCAGCCTCCCACACACAGTTTTGTGTTGGAAAGCTAATCAGCCTTACAGTTCATCTGAAGCAGGAAGACATGTGAGACTGATCTAACGCTCAGAGAAATAAGGTCCTCTTTACACCTGCAAGCATCTATCAAAGCAGTATGATTCTGATGAAAACCAAAAAGGTCTTTTGTCTCAACATGTCCATCTACAGAGAAAAAGTAACAGCAGCTAACTGACACACTAGAGACTAAGTACTCAGTAAGCAACAGTCAAATTCATAAACACCTTCTCTAGGTGGAAAATGCAAATCTTCCCAAGCAAAACAATACTCAATATGTAAAGCAAATTGCAAAAGTACAATCTAGCTCCCAGCTGACCTGAAAACCAACATATGAAGACCTGAAATGTCTGAAGTGAACAGTACTGAGGAAATCAGCACTGCAGCTCACCTCTTTGCCTGCTTTTGTTAAACCACGGACTGTATGTGGACCAGAAAAACTCCCTTTCATGTTGAAGTATTTCACTTTCCTGTTTAGAAGAAAACAGCAACATAAGCGTACACTAAAAGAAGAATGAAATACAATCAGCTGCCTTTTCCATATTTGAAGTGCTAAAAAGGATAACAAACAGGGATAGAAAAGGAAGGCATCTCATTCCATAGGAATGTTTGCAGCTCTGTCACATAAGCCACCAAATCCTTGTGTCACAGTTAACTCCTCTATACAGCAGAGCACCTAACACTGTCACCTAACTTGTAGCACGCTTCAGGATCAGGTTCTTGACCTCTTCAGATGATACACTTCCACTAGCCATTGCATTACTATTACAATATTACTAATACAATGCTCATTTGAGAGCAAACAAAAGTGACACTGCAGGATTTGTAAGAATAGCACCTGTTAAATTATCTATTAATATAATTTCTCTATAAAAGGAATTGCATGCTGAAACCTTGGAATTATTTCTGCACTGAAAGGAAAAAAAATCTGCTGCTCTAGTATAGTGTTATCTGAGGGCTTGTGTGGCATATAAATTTTGCTAGACAAGCTTGAAATTATCTTGATATATCCTATTTAATATTCATGCAAAACCTCAGATTAAAGACAGCATTCCCTGATCACTACAGTCTTAAAAAGCTTTTGGGTACAGTCACACTGAACCACCGTTTCCAAGAAAAGAAAAGGAAGGGATGGAAAAAAAAATAATTACATTGTCAAGGGCATTTACAGTCCTGAGCAGAAAGGACTTACAAACTCAAAAGAGTAGCTCTAATGAGAAATTCTAAAAGCAATTCAGCAAAGAGAAGAAGAGCCCCTTGACTATGGGAAGAAACATGAACTTCAAAGTCTTATTTACTTGTCTTGTAGTTGCACTCTGTGTCCCCAGTTCAAGGATTTCACATAATTCTGAACACCTTCTGCCATCACAGACCTATCAGAAAAAAAAGAAACTGAACATGAACTCAGTGCATTAAAAATTCAGATTATTTAAAGCAAAAATAGAAGCAGCTGCTAGAAACTAAGAATGTTCTACAGTACTTCTTGTTATAAAAGTAAATTATCAGGTCCAAATCAACATAATACCTGCCCTGATAAACCAGAACATACAGTGTTGTGTTTTAAATAAGAACCAGTCTAAAAAGCTTCATGCAAAATTCACTTCCCTAATTGTCCCTAAATGAACACTGACTGGAAAAAGTTGTTATGTATCTGCAGCACACAGGAATGGAAATCAGCATCAATCTTTACCAGGAATGATGAACAGGTTGTGCTATATTCCAGCCATAGTGTTGAGCATCTTTAAGGGCACTCCCTAAAAGGGCTGCTTGATGCATAAGCTTTTTAGGAATGCAGCCAACATTCACACAAGTTCCACCAAGTCCCCATTTGGTTCCTTGGGAAAAAAAAAAAAAAAAAAAAAAAGACAAAAAGTAAATGCATCAGGTTAGTGTAACTTCACACAATTAGGTTACTTAGGTTGATCATGAAACTAGTTAAAAAGTTCTGAAACAACACACACCTTACTATTTTCTGCAGATCAGTTATAACTAGCTCTGCTTATGATCATTTGTTTTGATAAAAAAATCTTTATATATTTTTCTTCTATAATTCCAAGCATCTCAAGATGTTTTTCAGAGCTCTGAAGGTTCAATTACTACACATTCACACTTGCTTATCTGCATTTGAAGATCTTATTTTACATACTGTATATGACAAGCCTCAACGTGATGTCATTTATAATTCTTAGAAAGTATAAATGACATTTTGACAGATACAATATTCTTCCATATTTAAGTTCAAAGTCTACTACAAATAGTAGCATCAAACACTGCTAACAACCTTAATATGCAGAAGAAGCAGGCAGAGCTGGGACATCACTGGAGGGACTGAGCAGTACAGCAAGCTGGGAATAAGGACTTGTACTAGAAGCAAAGCAAGCAGTGTGGCTTTGGCCACTTCACTGCCTGGAGCAATCTGCTCACCTAGGCAGACATTTTATACAAACAACCAAATATTATCCTAGTATTTCTCTTCCATACCTTGTGGAGAAGGTTCCACATAATCCAAAACAGCCACTTTCCTTCCAAACTGAGCAGCTTTAAACAAAAAGCAAGGCAAGGTATTTAGAAGAAGTGAGGGAACACACAAACCTTAACATTTTTAGTAGCACAGGTACAGACAAAGAGTACAGGAGATGATGGCTGCTGGCTTTTATTGTCTACCTCAAGATGCCAGACTAAGGACTCAGGCTGCCAGTGTAGTCACCAGATTCACCAGAAGGCACCTAGCAACCCAGACTAGAGCCTCCAATTTCCCTCAACCCTAAAAATGCAATTTGACCCTAAATGAGATGTTTAAGAATCTTGTGGGTTGTTGAGAACATTACATAGAGTTACAAAGGGGCAAGATTCTCTACAGCACTTAAAACTTCCTGGAAACAGTCTGAATGGACTGTTGTTTTAACACAGAAATACAAAAAAAGTATAGTTTTAAGAAACCTCAACAGTATCTGTAGAGATATTTAGCATTTTATAATAACAGTGAAATAAAATCTTATTAGATTTTCCCATGACAAAAGAAAAAATATTTTTTAAAAGGTTAATAGGAAAACCAAACAAGATCACCCCACTTAAGGGTGTGAACTAATCTGCACATTAACTATCTGGAGCCAGCTGAGTTAATAATTAATGTATAGGGACTGAAGCATAGTGTGTTTCTTAAAAAGCTTTAGCATTATCAGTAACATTTCTCTTTCCATAAATACCACTTAGGCTAATAAGAAACTTTTGTTATTTTTACATACAAACCTTCTTTTGCACAAGCAAGGCCTCCAGACCCTCCACCAATTACCAGAAGATCATACTCATTCTTTCCTGTAAAGAGGATGTGAAAAAGAAGAAACAGGCAAGGAATATGAGAGAGGTATGTAATAAGGTAATTATCAAAAAGTACATTATATTCTACAATTGATTATTGCTGATTTGGGTTTTCTTTACTTTACTAGAGCATTGCATTTTTTCAGTGTCCCAAAGCACTCTCCAAAAATTGTTAAACAACTGTATAGTCTGGTTTTGTGAATGAAATATAGAAAATAAAGCAATCCAGAAGAAGTGAGGAAATAGACTGCATTTTTGCACAACCTCTCTTTATGGACAATTAGGCAGTTGCAATGGGGATCCAGTAGAGGTTTTCTTTCTCTGCATTACAGCAGCAAGTTCTATACAGAGATTTTTCAGCAGGGTCAGCTTATTGGACTCACAAACTTCATCTGCAATGTAGGCCTTGCAGGGGTGGTGGGGCAGTCAGAGGGAAGCTGGCTCCTTCTGCCACCTCAGCCTCCCAGAGCAGTTTTGCAGTAGCAGAAGCCCACAGGTTAGTAACAATTCGTTTCTTAGCAAGGGCATCAGGACAACCACTGCTTTTAGAGGGCTGTCAGCAGTTCAGGGGCAGCCGAGGCCCGCAGCTCCAGCACTAGCTGTGCCACCAGAGGGTGTGGGGACTTCTCTCAGCAGCTCAGTCAGGAAGTTGGACTGGGAAGGCCGATACCGCCGGTCGCTCCCTTTAGC